GGGGGGGGGGGGATAATTAGATATTCGTCCCCCCACTCCAAAAACTGGGGGGGGGGACGCGTCCCCCTCATCCCTCCCCCCCAGGATTGACGCCCATGTTTTCCAGGTTGTGACATTCAGAAATTCATTTCCAGCAAATGTTTACACATCATCTGAAATCCAAAAGTTATTATACATCCCTATATTTAATAATTTATTTAAGGAATTAAGATAGGATACATGATCTTACTTAAAGTCATAGGCGTACGAGACAAGGGGCAACTACCCCTCCCACCAAAAAAATACCCCGTTAGAAAGCCATGGAAATTCGGGCAAATTCTATAAAAAATCAAGAAAATGCAGACAGATTCATCAGAAATTATGGCATTCAAGTTATTTCATTACAATCCTTCATTACAATTCGGGCAAACTTTCAACTCCCCCCCCCCCCTTCCCCCGCTAACGGAAGAATCAGCCCCGTACAGTTATGCTATTCCATAAACAACACATGGATGATCTCGACTTTCTCTGTCGAGTTATTGAGATGATGGAAAAGAAGGTGGGGCTAATTTTTGGGTAAAAACACAACATACTTACTCCTAAATTTTGACATTTAACTGTATAATGATCTTCCAACTTTTGAACTTCTTTAACACTGGCTTCCATTTTACTCTGCCACTCATCAGCAGGGATGTGCATGAAATCTGGGCAATAGAAGAAAAGAATCAAATGACTCTCAAGACATAAATAGCATGTGCAGTAATGTATATGTACTAGTTAAAACATGAGCATGTTTTAACGTGCTTAGTGTGCTTAAAAAACGACCCATCTTATGAGTTCATTGGTGAAGTAATTTTAAAAGTGAACATTGTCTATAAGCCGAGAAAATCAAAGCTGAAGTTTTATATGTAAATCAGGACAAATCTTTATCCGATTTACAAACATTGATTAAACATTCATTTCTTTTGTATTTTCCTTATGAATTATTAATGAGTTTTTTAAGTCATATTATAAGTGTGTTTTGGTTCATGGAATTAGAGTAATACAGTTGTGTAGATCCGCTTAAAAAAATATCTTTTCCACTAACTAATATCCCACTTATAGGGTGAAACCTATTTAAAGTTGTCCCTGAAGGTCAAAACCATAGAAATATATCTATTATTTCATAGCCTATCGAAGGGACGATGGCTGTGAAACTTATTAGAATAACAATATTTAACAATTATTCGCCGAAGGGCGAAGGCGAGGTGCAGTGACTATATCGGGGAATATTCGCCGAGACCAAATCGAGGTGAATATTCCCCAATAATCACCGAGCCTGAGGCAAATAATTGTTTTAGTATTCTTACACAAGTCTTTTGTGTTTTTTTGGGACAGAATTTTTTTAAAATTTCGCTTATTCTTTATCGTAACTTCCACAAAACGGCTAGCCGCCATTTTGAAAATTTCGGTTTTGTTATTAACCTGTAGGTGAATATAACAGTTTAATATGCCAAATTTGACCAATCAACTCGTAGGATTTGTTATATTCACCTGAGCAAAAATACTAAAACTCATTATCTATGTTGGTCAACGTTTAGTCATAAATCTGATCCTTCATGTATTTTTGCCCAACTAACCAATAGCAATGTTTTAGGAAAGTTACCTATCCGTGACTCGAACAATAGGGAAATTGAAAATTGCTATTGGTGGATTTGGCAAAAATACAATACACACGTGACGGTGAAGACTGAAGGACCAGATTTAGGAATAAACGTTGACTAACATAGATAATGAGTTTTTTGTTATTCTAATGAGTTTCACAGCCATCTTCCCTTCGACAGGCTATGTTTATTTCTATGGTCAAAACTCACAAACGCTAAACTTTGACCTCTAAGCGCGTAAAGCACAAATAGCATGTTTATGATAATGCATGAGATAATTTATGCATGCATGTTAGCAATATGACTGTACTGTAGTTATGTTTTCGGCTAATTGAGTAGATGTCTAATTACTCTAATATGTATTTATGCTAACCAAGTGAATTTGATTCCCACATAAAAATCCAATGAATTCTGCCGGGTTTGCTATTGTCAGTATTATTGGGTGGGGCGACGGAGCAAATAAATTCCGAAATAGGTGAAAATCAAGTATGCGAATTCGGAATTATAAACCACTTTTTTTACCAAGGCCGGATTTTAGTGGAAATGGGAAGGTGGGAAAAAATTTAGTGGAGGTCCGCCAAGAGGTTGGTGGGGCCGCGGGGCAAATTTTTTTGGGGGGTCCCTATCTAAAACATTTTTCCCGCTCCCCCGCCTTCCGTCGCCAAAAAATTTTCGGTCAGTGTACCATTTTAGGGTAAAAAAATTTTCCGGAGTAACGTTGCAATAGACAATTCCCATTATAGACTAATTTTAAAATTAGGCAAGGAAACTCAAATAAATCAGCACAGCTAGAAAGAGCATACACAAATTAGTAAACTTATAAAGTTTGGTTGCGAAATGTTGTAAAATGAGGAAAATATAGCCTTGCAAAGTTCGCAAATTTTGTATACTTTTGTATTGCTTGCGGAAATTCCTACCACATTCCTACCACATTTGGGCCGAAAATAGTCGCACGCAATACAAAAGTATACAAAATTTGCAAACTTTGCAAGGCTATATTTTCCACATTTTACAACATTTCGCAGCCAAATTTTGTATTTTACTAATTTTATTAATTTTAGTATGCTCTTTCTAGCTGTGGTGATTTATTTGCATCTCCTTGCCTAGTTTTAAAATTAGTCTATAATGGGAATTGTCTATTGCTTTCCATGGACTTTATCTCATTTTTTTATGCCAAATTTCTGTACTTAGCCCAAAAAACAGATATCTTGTCCTTCACTGCGCGGAAATATTTAACACACAGAAAAGACTGGGGCCCAACAATGTACATATAGGTATCAGTGTATTAATGAATTATGACTGTACAATTCATCCAATTTTGCCCTTCATTACAATTACTGCACAGTTTCTTTCAAAACATTGCATTAAAAGGGTGCTTGACACAGCTCTAGATGAATGACTATCATGCACTGTTTCAATTTTACAGAAAAACTTTCTTACGAAGTGTAGACCCTATTAATTACCTCCGCCAGGAGGTTATGTAATCATCTGGGTTTGTATGTGTGTGTGTATGTGTGTGTGTGTGTATGTGTGTGTGTGTGTATGTGTGTGTGTT